ATATATAAAGTTAACAACATGGTAAGACATGATTTTCCCATCTGAAGGAATTATGTCTTTGACTGCTGGATTGCTACAGCACGGCAACAAGAGTTGCACCGGTACATCTATTTCAAATCACGAAGCAAACATAACCGAAAATTACAACAAGCGAAACGGATAGTTGAACATGGCGTGTCGTTTTGTTTAATAGATTCTGCTTCTGTTCCCCAAATTTGAAGCAACATCTTGAGTTCGGGATAAAAGCTTTGTTTTAGTAAGGTTTTACGGATCTCGCAACTGTATAAGGTCATATGAGAGCCAAGGGGTGGGTGTCAATAGAGAAGTCCAAACGGGGAATCAGGCTTACTCTGCTCACCTCTCTAGCCTCAACAGAACAAAGTCTGCTTCGACTATTAAGGCACCCCGGAAATATCAGTTCACAAGAGAGTGACCGACAACAAAAGAAGTAGAGGAAACATGACTATAGTAAGGATGAAGAAAGAAAAAGCTGCAGTTCCTCCTTTGTTGTTCCGCCACAGTATGAGCATGACATAGATAAATCAGCCCATTTACAATTCCACTATGCATAAGAACATGTTAATATCCCCCCTTTGGGAATGGCCTAAAGACACTTCAGTCAGTAGCACTGCCCTGGGGAGAGGGAGTTCGGGATAATAAATACAGAGTCAGTGTCCGATGTAGTATTCACTTTGAAAACTTTTCCCCGCCTTTTTTCTCTCTGCTTCCTTCCTTCCTCTCATGGTGCGCATACCCTTTGGCCCAGATGTCCACTCTTTTTAAATGACCTGTATATATTTCGCAAGTGATAAACATTACAACCTGGAATCGTTGTCACATCCACACATTATTTAAGTTATACTTACTTTAGTTAACTAATTGCTTTCAACCCATGACCATAACCAAGTGAACTTTCTCGCCTTTGTTAAATAAAGAATATTTCATTCATTCATCATTCATTCATTCATTCATTCATTCATTCATTCATTCATTCATTCATTCAATCATTCATTCATCCATCCATTCATTCATTTGTTTAGTCTACAATCTGTTGCAAAACATTTCCCTTCTTCGATATAACGCAAGTATGGGTCAAATGGGGGCGTGCAAGCAAAAACAAAATAAAAAACCAAAGCAAAATCCAGATATTCAGATGTACAAAGTCTGAAATCTTGAATAATATTCGGTCACGATTCCATAATGTGTTAAAAAATATATTCTGTCCAAATTCAAATTTTAAATGCTGAGAAAAGTAAGAACAGATACATAATGTCGAAACACTTGTTAAAAGAAGTAAACAAGTTGGGGGGGGGGGGGTTTCTCTCTTACTTCGTTGTGCATTCTAGGTTTAGTACATTTGAACAGCTTTCCGACGGAAATGTCGCCTCTTGTCCTTCTCCAGGTGTCGGCAAGTGGAGAGAGCATGTACGACGACGCCTTCACCATCCAGTATGTGGAGAAACACTATGTGGACGACTTCAACTACGTGGCTGGAATGGTGCCCTTCCTTCTGAACCTCATCAGAGATGTAAGTTTTACACTTTCTAAATCTCTTCTCTTTTTTTTTTTTACTTTGTAAAAAGTGGCATCCTGCCTGATATATACGGGATACAGGATAAAGATTAACACTTTAGAGTCTTCTGTTGTGCTCAATAAAGAGGGCCAAATATTAAATAACCGGTACAAACTTAATTTTGTTATTTCGAAATACTAGTGAGTTCATTGGTCATTGTTCAATGGTCACTGTAGAGATTTAACGTCCGTTTCAGCGCTGTAAGGTTATCTAAGACGCGTCGCCTCCGAATCTAACGTCCATCTCCGAGCCACGTGGGCGGAAAGACTTAAAAATTCCCCAAAACAGCCCCAGTTCAGAACGCCCCATAGGTTATTTGAATCATGGCCATATTATTATGCTCCCTAGTCCAGCATGATACCAACTGGGCTAGTGGTGTGTCCACTGCTTCATTTTTGTAAACCTCTTGAGTTAATTTGAGAGTAGAGTTATTTTAGAACAGAGATAAAAGGAACCTTTCAACTCTCCCTTTGAAGTGTCTAAAATACTTTTCTTCTTGACCTGTTAATGATGTCTGAGGCGCGACAGGAGGCCATGGGTTAGCATATTTCCAAATGGAATCCTGCAATGATGAATGACCTTCATTAGTGCAGCTGATGATTGTTGTGTTGCCTCGTGGACATTTACCTTTTTTGTATGACAGAATCAATTATGCTAAATCCCATTCATCATTCTCCAAATAAATCCCCGAGTTTGCAGAATAACATTATCAGGAAGTTTTGTGTGTGCTTTTTTTTTTCCACAGAGGAGCGAGAGTTCTCTGCTGAACGCTAAAAAGACTCATTTAACCTTGACGGTGAGTAATATCTCAAGCTCTCCTTTGTGACCATAAAGAGATATGTCTTTGATGTTCGGCAAACTCGCTTTTCTCAGAATAAAAGAGAGATGTATATAAAGTCTGCATGAGGTAATTTTTCAGATACGCTTCAGAGAGGCAGTTGGATTATTTGCCCCGAAGCCCATGTCCATTACAAAGAGAAGGTTCAATGTTTGCTCTCTTCTGAGTATTTCTCGGGGATAAAGATTTACGGTGGTAATTGCACAACGGAGATGAGCTGTCTGTATTATGAGTTCTGATTATTTGTAAAAGATTTGTTGGAGTGAAACTGTTTTGATCTAAATTTGTCTATATGTCTAACCTGCGAACCTCTCTCTTTCTCTCTTCTTTCCATGCCCCTCACTCTCCTCTCTCTCTCTGTCTCTCTCTCTCTCTCTCTTTCTCTCTCTCTCTCTCTATCTCTCTCTCTTTCCCCCTGCCTCTCTCTTTCACGTTTTGCTGTTTCTTTTATTTTCTCTGTTTTTTTATTATATCTTTTTCGATCCGTTGTATGTACTTCTCTCTTTCACATACACATGCTGTCACACTCACACACAAACACACACACACACACACACACACACACATACACACACACACGGGCACGTACGCAGGTACACACACACTCACACACACACACACTCACACACACACACACACACACAAAGTTACAGAAACACACACAAACACACACACACAAACACACACACACATACACACACATACGCACACATACACACACACGTACACACACTCACCCACACAGACACACACCACAAAATTAACTTTCGACACCTTAAATATACACATATAGACCGACACATACCGTCAAATGTATTCTTTCCACTTGTCTGTACAATTGCTCTAAGCCCAGAAAGCAATATTTTTTCAGGAGAGAAAAGAAAAGGTTCAATTCTTATAAAAAATTGTACCTACAATATGTACCTTTTTAAAGTTTTTAAAAACTCTACTTTTACTTTTATCCGCCGCTTATACCCTTTAAAGTTTCTTTAAACATTTAAAATTCGAATTTATTTTTAAAAATTATATTTGACGACAACATGCATCCGATACCACACGTTATGGAGCTGTATGTATCTAAATAATGTAGGTTGTAAAGAGCATAGAGCTTGCTGATGAGCAGAAATTTTGCGCTATATAAATACTGTCAATTATAATTTCTAACTCCCTAAATTTAGAGCTTATTACATTTGAGCGGCTAGCCAACAATTTACATTACTTTCTGTATTAAAGCTATTGGATTGTAAAGTTCACTGGTTTTATCCTTTCCAGGCTATGGAAGAACTGAGAAAGTTCATGTACGTCAACAACGTCACAAACAAGAACAGACAGAAGCTGATGAGAAACTTACGGGTAAGCAGTACCAAGCTTGCAGTTTGTTCCAAGTTCTTTGATCATTTCCATGCTTGTACTTTTTTATTTGCTAATAACTTGAGAGACAGATGAGCTTCTACATCAGCAGAACCAATGAAAGAACAGTGGATAAAGGCAGGTGAATAGAAAAGTAGGAAGACATGGAATGATACCATGGGGCTTGCCCGTGACAGGGAAAAGGGGAAATTATGTTTGTTCGTGGTCTTGATAAAGATAGTGATTATGTTGATGACTTTTCTGATGGAAAATGTAACAATTTGAAAGTGGCAACTGAAACTGTAGCTGCCGTAGTAACTAAACTTTTATATTGTAGAAATATTTCTTTTATTTTTTTAGAGGATTGATCCGCACCGCCACCCCACCTCTCCCCAGCATTCTTAAAGGTTCATCTACGTTTTCATTTAGCTGAGACTTTAAACTCAAACATCATTTCTAGGGGTCGGAGATGGAAAGGAAAGGGGGGAGGGGCTAGCTTTAGGGTCGGTCGGTTTTTTTAGGGGGGAGGGGGGTAGTAGTTCAGTCTGGAATTTTAGGGAATAAACTGCTTTCACTTCGAAGAGAAGGGATGGGAGAAGACAGTTGGGAGAAAGCAATGTTAGGCACATACTGAACCTTGGCTCAACGTAAGCAGACCATGAATAACACACTCTGACACCCAAATGTGGCTCAATTGAGAATAAAGACCCCAGATGAGCGTAGCAGATTAAATAAATTCCCAATGAATGCCTAAAGCGTACAGCTATCACGTATTCCACCTGTTGGAGTTTCCTTTAAACAAAAATAAAACGTTTACTTCTAACATACGTCTGATATTGTAATGGATGTTTCGTGTCAACACTGATCTTCTATGCTGCTTTGACAATATTGATGTTGTAAAGCTAAGTGAAAGAGAAAAGTGAACAGCTAATGTCCTTGTCTGCTTTCCATATAACACTGTGAAAAAAGCAAATGCTGTTGTTTAGAGATGTTACCGCCTGAGAATAAGATTCCGAAATGTTATCATACTGTCGAGGGTGCGGTGGTGGAGCGGTTAGTGCGCTCGTCTCCGATGCGGAAAGTCCGGGTTTGAGCCTCGGTTCGGACACTGACGTTTTTCACCCCCTCTTGCCCACCCAGCAGTAATGGGTACCTGACTTCGTGTTGGGGAAGTAGAGGCGGTGTAGAAAGGAACAGGCCACCCTACCACAACATGCCGAAGACTCAGTAAGTTGTCTCACTAACAAGGCAATCCCCAATCTCCCGATCGGATGCAGGAACAACTTTACTTACTTTGTAATACTGTCAACTTGTTTGTTCCACGACAACTTTTTTTCTATAGTAATTCCCAAAAATCTGTATGCCAGAGGAACATAAACAGTCGTAACCTACCTTCTAAACGATCTAACTTGTGTCAGTGGAGACGTAAAAAGACCTACTTTTTTTTTTTTTTTACATTTCCTCAGGTGATCGACCTACTGGTCAAGATACTGCAGTGTCCACTAGACGGTCAGCACGACGAGGTCAACCTGACCTCGGTGTTCAAGGAAGCCTACGACGCCCTGTACACGTACATGATAGGTCGTTCACGCAAGAACGCCCTCTACTTCGCCAAGTACATTGACTTCTTCCAAACACAGTTTACGCAGAAGGTAGGCTTGGGGAAAGAATGGAAGATTAATCAGAATCAGATACCGTACTGAATTGTATTTTCTTTCAATTTAATTTTTGGCATATCTATCTATCTATCTATCTATCTATCTATCTATCTATCTATCTATCTATCTATTTCGTGTATACCTTTATCAAATAAATGAATTGAATACACATACATATTATTTATTCTAACGTATATACATACATCAACATATTGTATATAGATAATGCGGGTGTTATATATTCTTACATAAATGATCATAACGTCAGCGTCATCTACAATCACCCAAGTCATTATGTTTTGAGAAAATTAAATAAAAAGAGAGCGCCTACCTAAATATGAATCGTGACCATGACCCTCGTTGTTTTTCAATTCAATTGAAATATTGGATGGGTATCTGATACTCTATTATAGTTAGAATGGCTCTAGTTGTCCTCATTTGAATAACGGCTTTCTATGTAAACCCCCAGAAATTGGTTTGGGCAATTATGGAGGATGGCGCTGATGATATACAATAGAATGATATGTATTACCCACCCACCCACCAACTCCCCCCTCCCCCCCCCCCAACCACTGCGCCTCCCCAAACAAAACAAAAATGTGTAGTATTCACGAAAACCGTTTTCTTTCTTCTTCCAACTCGGTTGTCTTCCAAACGCAATGCTTCAGGGTGGCATTGGTCTCAATGTTGCTCAGATGATCGTGGAGCTCATCAGAGACAAGCGAAAGATCGTGGACAGAATCACGCATGCGCAGATTGATGAGTTTGTCTCCCTCTTGGAAAAGACTCAGGTAAGGGTTACTACGGTTACTGGTATAACATTTAAAGATCCCCCCCCCCCCCAAGAAACTACTGACTTAGAGAAATAGGTGATACGTCGTGATATTGCATAGAATACAGCCTGGCAGATTCATGTTGGTCTTTGTTACATTGCAATGAGCAGTTGAGCAATGCCATACATTTCACTGCTTTACTCTCTCGCATCTGTCTCTTTCTCTCTCTCTGTCTCTCTCTTTCTCTCTCTCTCTCTCTCTCTCTCTCTCTCTCTCTCTCTCATTCTCTCTCTCTCTCTCTGTCTGTCTCGCTCTGTCTCTGTCTCGCTCGCTCTCTCCGTCTCGCTCTCTCCGTCTCGCTCTCTCCCTCTCGTTTCCCTTTTTTCCCCTCTTATCCAGTATCTCTCTGTGCCTCTTTCGTATAACCCCTATCCGTTTCCTCAATTTTCAAAGCCTTTCTTTCTCTCATTGCAATATACTTATCGTATATGATATGAGCTCTTTCCCTCGTTTTTCTTCTTTTGTGTATGTTTATCTTGCTATGTCTTCTTCGCTTTTGTCATTTTTCTTTCTTGCTTTACAACTCTTTCGGCGGAAAAACAAGCTCATTAAGTCAGTTCCCGGGGAATTCATGAGAGTGATAACACACAGACAGTATAAAACATTTGTCACTTGTCTCCCAACTCAAGCGTTCTTAGAAGCCCATCAGCAGCATGAATGTACGAGTCAAAATGTCATCGCAAATCACACATCCTCTCTTGTAGCCAATGAACCAGTCTGTTACAAGAGAGAAGGAACACGAAAATAACAAGACCACGAGAAGGGCATTTATTGTTTGCAGAAAATGCAAGCACGGTTCGTTGTAATTACCGAGGCTATCCCAGAAATACGCCAGACAAAAAGGACACGAGCACAGAATACCTTCTCAAAAGAACAACATGGCAATATTCTGAGTGCGACGATACAAAATGATGTCTTTGTGACGAGAGCTGTGTCTCATGCGTTCTATTTTCTAGTGCGCGAACTCCCCTGCTCGGTATGACGGTTGTATATTTTATTGTTCGTGAGGTAAAAATATATGCAGACGTTTTGTTGATTGACTGTTAGGGGAAGTTGATAGGGGTGGGTTGGCTCGGGGGGAACAAGAAATATCAATTACGAGTGGCGATAGGGGAATCTGGGGCGTTGGCGTAGGGGAGTGTTTTACATGACGTCAGGACTGGACGGCCATGTTGCTGGCTGATGACGTGGTTCTCATGGTAAAGTGTGAGTGTATCAGTGTGTGTGTGTGTGTGTGTGTGTGTGTGTGTGTGTGTGTGTATGTGTGTATGTGTGATTGAGGGAGAGAGAGTGTGTGTGCGTGTATGTGTGTGTGAGAGAGA